AATAGCCAAACACAAAGTAGAAGAGTTTGTAAGACGGACAAACAGCTACCACGATACAATCAATTCACGGCTGATATATCAGACCCAGAAATTGTATATTCTTAAACAAATAAATTGAGAAATTAATGGTACTATTTCTGGAAAAACCTTTAAAGTCCTCGAAGACCCATATATTATTTGGTCTCGGTAATAATTGTATCATTTTGAATGTGTCTAATGTAGCTCAGGCATACAGAAGTATAGTTAAGGAACCATCATTGTTAAAGTTTTCAGTGGAGTATATGAGATGATGTGTTTGGTTTTCTTTATGTAATTTTGCTCAGGAAATGTACGTATTGTAACTAATTGTAGAAAAACTTCAGTACCGTTGATGATGCAAGTACTGTAAAATTGAATCAGTAAGTGGTTCAACAATTTAAGTGTTTGTAAACAAACAAAAAAGCTGAAATAAACAATACTGTGCTCCCTAAATAGGCAAAGTTTCAAAAAGGTTTTCCTGTGACTTTTTGCTAGTAAAAACTCACCATTGACAACTGAAGCCTAATTTTTTTTTGTTCCCTACTTCAGGTGAAGTTGTGCAAAACATATTTCCTGGAAAACGCCGAAAATTGCGTTTCTTCCATAATATGTTCCCTCTGAACATACATTCCTTCTCCAGAGATGCGTTGTGCCAGCAAAGATTTAAAAGTGACCCTAAGATATCTACATAGTATAGTATGTATTTGGAAAATACACAAAAGGTATAATTTGCCGAAATTCGGGACAAACGATTTTGGTTGTGTCACAATAAAGTTTACTTGACCTTCCTTTGACCTTTTAACTCCCACGATCTGATTTTTAATCCTCCCCTCTGGCTGGTATACATTTCCTTGCAAATTAATTATGAGAATTTCGTGTTCAATCAAGGCAACAACTTCTACCTGACAAGTTTGAGTATTCTCATTACCTGTTTGCTAAATAATGAATGGATATTATAGGGAGAAGTTACATGTTAATCACTTCTGGGAGTTAAAGGAATAAAGCTTTGTTTTACTAACAATCCCCCCTCATTAGCGACTGATATACCCCCCGATCCCCAAGAGCTCCACGTGATCTGCCCCCAAAATCTTCCAACTCCCTTTTTCCTATCGACTCTGAGAATTTATGAAATGAATCTAATCTAATCTTATTTAAAAAACCACTAGGCGACTGATGTCGTAGTATTTTCGTGTTTTAACGTTACAATGAGTCAAATATAAGAAACTGAGCCTGTACTCATCCCCCAATCTGCCCACAAAATCAATGATGGTTGATTATCTAATGCTATGAATCTATTTGGTAGAACTTAGTGCCGAGAACGTGTTTCTTTTGGTGTAATTCAATTGATATATGTCCTATTCCGTTTTATGTTTTGGAGCCTCTGATACAACAGATCCTTGTGCACCAGTAAGACAGTTTTTCTCAGAAATTGGAAGAGAAAACTGTGAGTTTTTCTTTACGGCGATTGAAATACCAACGCGCATGCCCCTCTCATCCTAAGAATCACTCGTACACGCAACCAATCAAGGTGAATACGGTGGCGATTTATTAAGCTGTTGTTGCAAGTTATTAAGTGGCGATCGCGATAGATACTTTCCTCTATCACGCAACAACTAACACACACTTCCTATGGGTAAACAAGTACTTTATTGTGGGTAAGCGTAGCGGGAACCGCCCTTGCGAAATATCTTAAGTGTCAGCTTTTAGGCTCTATTCTTCGTAATTGTGTTTACAGATCGGAGTCCATTTCTATATGATTTCTAGTGAAGGAAATCCCAATAAATCTAGCAACTCTCCTACAGTCGCAGACTCGTGAAGGAAAGAAACCAGAGGCAAGTTTCTGTCTACGCGTCCTCTTCTTAAGTGGCGATGGAACGGACGTCCTTTACGTACTTTCAATGTAGGCGCGGGTACTGTGACAGACCACTTAAAACCTTCGATCGCTTCTTTGCACTCCTTTGAGAAATCTGAAAACAACGCAGGGCCGATGTCTTGTCCAGTTGTTGAACTGATGGGTACGATCAAGATGTGCGGCAGGTACTCAAGATGCATATGAAGCTGAAGAAGCCTTGCGTTGACTAAACGCAGCTGCGGATATTTCCCAAAACCGTCTGGGCTTTTTCCCAGAATTCCAAGATGTCAAGAACCTTCCAAGAACCAATCCACCTTCCAAGAACCAATCCAACCTTCCAAGAACCAATCCACAATGACATACCTTCCCTTCCCCTTATCATCTTTGTACCAACCAATTGCGTCAGCTGTTCCGTACCAGTAATACACTTTCGTTGACGTTTTTTCAGAAGCGTAGCCATACAGAGGAAAACGGCTGTCGAGAAGATTTATACGAAAGGCCTTGGAGATTTCCCGCAAGACATAAAACTCAGCACAATCGTCCAATTTATTTCCCCCTTTTTTTGAGAACTGAAGTTTTAACATCCTCAATATATTTATGTAATCAGCGAGATAAGTTTCCCAAGCAATACCACCAGCATTTCCAGAGCTACATTCGCCTCCTCTCCTAAATTGTGGCGGATCAGGTTTAATCTGAAACTCTCGGAACTTTCTCCTGACACTGTCGTCCATCTACGACACAAGGAACTACCTTAAGCAATGAAATTCGAAATTCCAAAGAAGGCTGGGAAGTTCTTGGGGGAAGTTCTAGTAAACCATGATTTTTCATCTTCTTAAATCGGTTGTTCGGAGATGAAGGGCTTTTAGTTGTGGGACCATGATGTGGTACTGAAGGCCTAGGAACCGTGTACAATTCGTTTAATGTTTCCAAAAGCAATTTTTAAAAAAAAAATTGCTGCAGGGTACTAGTCACAATTGATTTTCGGCTTAGAAATGTTTGATAACCAACTTGAAAGTAGTATCAGCAGTAGAAGTTTTGTTTTTTAAATCGATTTTTTTTCTGTATGTAAATATGATGAAATTGAAGGCATGGAAGGTATAGGTGGACGTTCCCAATCAGTTTTTTTTTTGTTAGCCATGATCATTGTTTTCATCGATATCATTGTCGTTTTCATTTTCATTTTCATTTCAGTCTCCATTGTCTCATTAGCACTCTGATTAGTGGAGGGGGGTAGGGAGCGGGAGAAAGCGGGGTGCAGGGTCTATCTGAGGGGGGAGAAGCGGGAGCAGAAATTAAAAAGTCACTTGTTTCTTATCTATTACAGTCTTATCTATTCAGTCAAAAACCAGTACCCAGCAAAGTCTTTTTACTTCCATTTAACGTCGATCGAAGCGCAAAATAAAAATTATATGCGAGAATGTGCTACGGAAAGTGGGAGGCTGTGACCCCCTGTCCCCCTCCGATCAATTTTTATAGTTAAACAAGAGGGCAGAAATTCAGAGTGGGAACGGGGCACAGATCCTGCTTCCTTGTCATGATTTTTAAAACTTAACCTAGCCTCATTCCATATTATTTAAGGTTGAGATGTCTGGAATTAGCTCCTACTTATTCAAACTAAACCTACCTTCCCTTTCCCGGTTTCCTTTCCCGGTCAGCCTCATTGCGTTTTAATGAAAAACATGATTGTGCTCCCTTCAAGCCTTGCGGGTGTGTCAAAGAAAAGTGAACTCCGTGGTTCTTAATATTACTGATTCATAATACTCCTTACCACATGTTGTGTTGCTTATATGCACGATAATACCATAACAAATTATATGTACCTTCAGTGAGTGCTAGGAACTTGCATGTTGCGTTTAAACTATGAAATTAAGGCAAATGTATACCCATTTATCTGTGTGAATTGTTGTCTTCCGTCCCATAAGTCCAATTGAAAGTGAAATAGCGGACAGTTTAGGCTCATCTATGCTAATTCCTGGGAAGGTTTAACCGAGGCTTATCCAGCCTGCACTATTCTATCCTTACCCCATTCGTTGGAAGCATCAACTTACCTCTTGGAAGAAACAGATCACATGCCAGTCGGTTGACTGTAAAGCCTCTAGACTCGATCCACGGCTTGTTGAACTTTCAAGATCGATCGTTCTTTCTCTGCGATTCTATGCTTACAGACATCAAGCTCATTGTACTGTACATTGGGTCTGAATGCATCGCGAACATCCTTGAGCAAATTTTCCGGCATCGTTTTCTGATAGTTTGTTTAAGAAACTTGCGCCCTTCGGCTTAGCTCCAACTCTCCAAGATGGCTATCTATGACGTGTTATGGTAATTGTCAGTATGATTTTCAGCATGATTGGTTTAAAGATAAAAATATCTCAGTGTGCCGTGAATGATGACTTGTTCATAATCATACCCGTGGACAAAAAAAGTCACAATCGACTCTAGTCAAACCATAGTTAGTAGAGGGATTTAGTCACCATTTTTTTTGCCTTTGGTCATTCCAACCGAGTTTCAGTATCTTACAAAGCTTTTCGAGGCTGCCGTCTTGGTATCTTGGAAGTAAGATCGAGGAAAAGAAGTGAAGAAATATTTGAAGATGGAATACGGTAACTGGATGAACCTCTTAGTATTTAGTACATCAGTTCGCGAAAGACGCACTCTCTGAAATCTCAGTTAATAGATTATGTCGACATCTTGTGCGAGTCTGTTTTTTAAAAAAGATTCGGTTAGCGATTAATCGAAATAATTGCTAAATCGTTGAGTGGGAACTATCATCTACCAGGGAATGAATGTCTTCGCGGAGGTTCAGAGGAATATGAACCTCAAGTGACAGAATCCATCTAACAAAGGGAACGTAGAAAACGTCCAACGGACACAAACTATCTCTATAGACTCGTTCT